GGTGAGCTTGAACCACCGACCTTGCAGTTCAAACAGCTTTGCAGTCTTGCGCATTAACCCACAGTGCCACACCAGGACTCCGCCCAACAGCCTAGCAGAACTTAATTCCATTTTGTGCTTTAGGTTTAAGTGTTCAGATACCAATTTTTCTTGAGTACTTCATGCAGCTCTGACAATTGAACTACCCGAGTTAAAAACAGAGTACATTTAAAAGTGGGTTTGGGGCTACTTCCTCACAGGAACATTCCTAGACTCATCCCCTAATGGTCACCTAGTTATGATGTCATACCTGGAGAGCCTTGGAGACTGTAAGCTTTCCTGTCTGCAACAGTCCCTCCCTGCTTTCTCTAGACCTGGCGTAAGCATGTGACACATGTCTGCTGCCCTCTGTCTTAGTTGTGGAGGGAGGTGCCTTTGTTCTCTGTGTCCTATAAAAGGTCACCACATAAAGCTGGAATCTTGGAAATGTATCCTGGTGCCTCCCTCACCTGAGTGATCTGTCTTTGCCTTGTGTATACTTTTGTTTAAAACTTATAAAGAGTCTGCATAATAGTTCTATCTTTGAATAAGGGGTCTCTTTTCTCCCCTGTATCATCACACAGGTTGGGAAATAAAAAAGGAGCCCTGCAGGTGCAGTGGGTTAAGCATAGAATTGCTCACGGAAAGGTCAGCAGTTTGTATCCACCTGCCATTCTACTGGAGATAGGTAGTCGGCCTTAGTACAGATTTACAGCCTCACAAACGCTCTTCTGTCCTACACTGAACAGCAGTGAGATTCCTGTGGGGAATAAAAAATGTCCCATCCATGGAGAGACAGAGCAGCTGGGGACTTTAGACACAGAGAGGGAGAGGGGCTGTGTGCTAATGACCGGGGACCAGGCTTGCAGGGTACACCCTTTGGTTGGTTGATGATGCATGAAGGGAATTGTAACCATAGCAGTGAAACGATATACTTTAGGATGAATGTAAAATTAATGTTCTCCCATGTAAACGATCACACAATTCACAATAAGACATTAAAAAAAAAAAAAAGTCCCATTCTTCCTCTCTTCCCAGCCTGTATCATTGTTAAATGCTGTGGCTTCAGTTCTGACCTTGTATTATTGTGAAGTGCTGTTGAGTCCTATTTACACTACAGCACTTCACAATAATACAATTTTGTGATGCTGCTGACAGGCCCTCAAGAACCCTGAGGATACTCAGAGTTCACACTGCCCCGCCTCCACACCACAACTAAAACCAAAGCTCACACTTGTTTAACCAAGGGAGTTTTCACACCCTACTGAGATGGGGTGTTAATTAGGGCCTCCTTGACAAGAAGAAGGCCCACCCACCCAAGACTTAGTTTCTCCTTGTCAGACTTCTAGTATGTGTATGGGTCCATCTCCACTCTTTCTGGATGAAGTGGTCCAAGGTTCTGTAATCTGGGATGACTGCAGTTATCAACTCCAGGGAGATTGTATGGTGTCTTTGTTCTGGGCA